TGTGTTGGTGAACAGTGATACATATACTATGCTAGGCTTGGAAGTTTGAATTATTATTCTTAGCGCATATCATCTAGGGGTAGGAGAATGAGGAAATATTTTAATAAATAAATATGCAGAATATGATGGTTGTATAATTAAGTTATCTCGTGCTAGCATATATGCTCTGTAAGTTTGGGTGGGTGTGTGTGTGTGTGTGTGTGTGTGTGTGTGTGTTTCTTTTCATGATTATATGTATTATGAAAAAATCGTCGAAAAATAAACAATTACAAAAAAAAAAAAATATTCAAATTTTGTCGGAAGCAAAGGTATGGCATTAAGTGTTGTCTTTGTGATTTTTCAGTGTATTGTCTATTTTTGTTTGAATTTACACATCATAAAAATAATTATATTCCAGGTATATTCTTCATGTTAACATTCCCAGTACAAATAAAATCTCTTCAAAAGACAATAAAAACAGTACTTACAGTCAAATACCATAAACACTATCCAATATGAGCACCCTTTCAGGTATTAAAACCGATATTTGTTAAATTTTACTACCGCTTGCACCAAAATTTACCAAAATCCAAAAATAACAACAAAATAAAAATTCCACCCTACCCCTGTTTTGTTCTAAAATTTCCTGAAGAAATATTTTTCAAATTGGTGTGGCCTTATGTATGATTTACGAAGTCAGTGTTGAAAATTGTGCATTTTGCAAATTTATTTCCTTGGAAAACGGCAACCTAGCACATACTAGGGACGATTTACAAAACTATTAATAGTACCAGTGTAATTATACACACCTTAATTGATGATCATAAAATGGACTGGATTTGTTCGAAAAGAAGATGAATTATGGATATTTATGGGAATTTGCTAAGGGGAAAACATAAAAACAATGAGTTCTGTTTTAGGATTTCTCTAAAATGGATAAGTTACCAATTTTCAATTTTCTTCATCTTTCTTATGATGGATCAGGGTCTTTGTGTGGTTATAATTAATAGATCTAACTAACTCACAGAAACTGTGCCTGGTTGGTCCTCTTGTGTTAATGAAACAGTCAAAGTTTTGAAGCTTTTAAAAACAGCCTGCCAGCATAATTTATCCCACCTCTTGATTGTAGTTTGAAAATTGAAACAGTTGTGATATGACTGTAAAGTATCCACCAGTGACAACAAAACTGTGCTAATCTTACATGTATGACAAGCATAGTTGGTCATTAGCACGAAGTGTAGACAAACAACAGCCATAGGTAGTCAATGAAAGATGGTTGGTTTGAAAACTGACATGATGTGACAAATAATGCTATATTTAGTGTCACTGGATATAGCATATGTCATCATTCTTTCTGGTTGAAAAAATGCTTCTGTTTTTTTTTCAAGAGATGAGTTTCTTGAATGAAATAATATTGCATCCATTTTCATACATATTAAACCAAGAACAATTACAAAACACATTTCTTTAACCACTCTCATGCCTTTAAGGTCATCATTTTGGCATCATGTTTGATGTCGCAACGGATGATGTATACGTTAAGGTTAGGGTTAACCCTGACTCTAGCAGCCAAGTAATATGAGGAAAAACTGTCTACTCTTACTGGCAAGCTAGATTTACCAGCTATGCTTCGAATAACTCTTGGACTTTCTATAAGTACCTAGTTAAGCAAGGTCAGTGCACATGGCTTGTCAGGTGCCAGCTTGTAAGTTACACATGATGAAATTTTGAATTCTGAGTAGATATAACTACACCTATTTAATGAAGTGATAGTTGTTTAATAGTGATCTTTTTCCTGTTCAAAGCCATTCAATGCAAATACCATTAATACATGTACTTTCTAAAAGCTAATATGACAGGCCACCACATGCAACCACAGCCAGTGCTGATGTCTTCACCTCAAGTTTTATTTTAATGGAAAAAAAAAAAGGTTTTACCACTGCTGTATTTCACATATGAAAATCACCCTGTTAACATTAGAATTTGTTCAAGCCTCTACAATATTTCTAAAACCAAGTCATTATAGCCTGTGGTCATAATTACAGTAAGTATTCCTTTGCCTGCTACAACCAGGGGCCAAGAGTGATGATATTTGCTGAGAAGTGCCATACAGTTTGTTTAAATGAATCACTGAAAATTGTTCAAGGCCGCAGAGGTCAAAGGTGTTAAAACCATGAAACAACTGAGTAACCAAGAGGTCGGGAATGATGATATTTGGCCAGTAGTATGCTGAAATGAAAGTCTATCAGTTGCCAGTTCCCTCAAATAAATGACCTTGAGCCACTTTCAATCACCCAGGAGTTAAATGTATTACAACTTTTCTGAATAAGAGGCTAAGGATGATGATATTTGGTTAGCTATATATACAGGCATGCTGACATAAAAAAAACTTTCAAGCTTCAAATAAATGACCTTGACATAATTTTAATGTCACAGAGGTCAGATGTGTTAAAACCCTGAAACAACTTCTTCTGAATAACTAGGAGGCTAAGATTGAGGATATTTTGTCAGCAGCATGCTGGGTTGAAGAGCCTTTAGGTTTGTTAAAATGAATGACCTTGCCAGATAGTCAATAGTATAGGTTATATTTGGCATTTAGGTTAATGTTGCTAAGTGTATATTGTACTTAATCTGAATAAATGACCTAGACCAACCAATCTCTTAAGTCGGATCATTAAATTAAGTACAAATTGTCCAAAAAGGCTCATGATTTAAAGACTTAATTATATCTAGCAAATCTCAATACATTTGACCTTGACTGTCTTTTTAAGTCACAGAGGTGAAATAAATGACAGGTGTGTGATACAAGCCCATTTGGCTTGGTTAAATTTGGGGAAAATGTCCCCTTTTTGTCCCCCTTATGGGGTGTTTACAGGGCTGATACCTACCATTTGAACAAATTGGATCCCCTTACCCTAATGATCAATTCTGCCTAGTTAAATCAACAATGTAAAGTTACAGAGAAGTCAGAAATGTTGATTGTTAACAAAGGACTGAAGACAAATGACTTAGGATGAAGACGGATGACAAAAGGCTATATATGTGTGAGCTATCAGCTGACCTAAAATTCTACTGTATATATAAAGTTGTACCATGTATAAAAAATACAATTAGCATCATAAATATCCTGTTTGATTGCCGGGTTTAATGTCGGGCAGCGAGAAGACAAATGGCCATGGGCACGAAATAGAAAACATCTATGTTTCCTGTAGGCCTCAAATTGATAATCCAACATATTCCTGGTATTACTTAGTACATTAATTTGCATATATTATATCTATTTCTGTAACACGGGTAACACATTGTGTTGTGTGTCTCTTATACAATCAGGTAACACATGGTGTTGTTTGTTTGTCACCTGTGCTAGTTAACCTATTTACCTGTCATTATTATTACAAGTACTGTAGTTTACCTGACTTATACCGCCTCATCCATCATTGTGACATGATCGGGAGCTGCTTAATTTTGTTGGGCTGTTTGTCTCTGTAATCGTATGAAACACTAGTGCTACTGGAGATAATAAGCCGCATCAGCCATCTTGACACGGATGTAGTAGCTCCCGAAGCTCTGGTCTTTAACGTGCCAGCAGTCCGTGCCAGCAGTCCGCTAGATAGCTATTTCTTTGAGAGTTCTACATATTGCAATAGGTATTTCTTTTAAATGTCTACAGAGAGAGAGCCTGCTATTACATATAATATAAGACAGCCAGGTGTGTGTAAATGTGGGGATAAGCAAATATTTCTATGAAGCATATGTGTCTTTAATTAAAACATAGTCAACTGTTCAATACATTTTGTATAATAGATTCATGCAGTCTTTTATGAAAGCTAGTAAGCTTTTCTCTTGGCAATCTTCTTCAATGTCTTGTTCTTTTTAAAATAATGTTACTCTATATTTACAGAGAACACTGATCAATGAGATGAGGGGATTGATACTGGCGTATTGTCTTACATGGTCGAGCTTGTTAATACCGGCTCATGGGGATGGATATCCTCCTGGCCACCTTCTGCCCCTCGGGAGCCACCAGCCTCCACAGGGAGGGATACCAATGATGGGCAAGTTTCCATCTCCGTGGGTGTTCTATGAGGAATTTGTGAAGCAGTCACAACCCTTAGTGATGAGAAAGGTCCTCATGGGCAGTGACATTCCGGCTTTTGATAAATGGACTGATGCTTATCTCAGGTAAGATCATGCAGTTTGGATCCCTGGAGATTTAGTAGGTTTTGACTCTGAAATCTACTCCCAGCTTGGTTCTCTCATCTACCTCGATAGACTCCAATCAGTCAGGTTTCAGTTCTATTCTTTAGTAATTTGTTTGCATTAGTAATTTTAACTATTTCAAATCTGGATGTGTCGAACTTAAATGAATGTGTGTTGGTTTGAATATTTCAAGTTTAAAAGTGCTCAGCTTGAATATTTAGAACAAATTTGTTTTTAATGTTTTGATGATTAAGAACAATTTTGTTGGTTAAATATTATGATGATTTAGAACAAATTTGTTTTTAATGTTTTGATGATTTAGAACAATTTTGTTGGTTAAATATTTTGATGATTCAGAACAATTTTGTTGGTAAAATATTTTGATGATTTAGAACTATGTGATTTGGTTGATAAATTCACTTTATATCATTTCAGTGACATCTTCGGCCATTTACCGGTGGACGTGGAGAGTGGTAAGAAGGAAGATAGAGAAAATGGAACTTTGTGGCACATGACATTGGAAAAATATATCAGCATGTACAAAAAACTCAACGGCTATTTGGTTACAGATGTACCGGAGGCGATGAAAGGTAGGCTGGTTGATAGAATCTATCATTCTGGTGTGATGAAAACAGAAACCTGCACCTGAGGGTTAGGTTTTAAGTTTTGCACAAAGCTGTGCTGAGTGTGCTAAACACCTTCAATGTTATCCTGAGGGTGGAGATTTCTTGGTCTGTATCAAACAGGAATAAATGATTTTGTTTCTCCCACACCTTCATACCGTAAATAGATGTTGTACTGGTAAACCCAATATACCTAGCCACAATCAACATGAAATTTGTGACAGAACTGATGATGCGGCATTGTTTATGCTGCATGAAGTGATTGATATTTTATGAATAAATTTAGTCAAACGTATAATATTGAGGTGTAAAGACATAATATGTTATTAGGGTTTCTTTATGTATCAGGAATTCAGCCCCACAAATCCCTATTTACAGGGATTTAACTGTGAAAGGGTCAAAAGTGCTATCAGTATGCAGGGATAATTAACCTGCAACTGACAAAGAGTATGATAACATTTGAATTATCCTTTACAGGTCCATGCATCCATTCTATATAAATAAATACTTCTGCAGCATCGCAGGTATCCATACTAAGAATACAAGTGTAATGACAATTTATTATAACATTTTTAGGTCACCTGAGACAAAGTCTCAAGTGACCTATTGCGATCGCCTTTTGTCTGTCGTCGTCCGTCGTGCGTCCGTAAACAATTTTCATTTTCGACTTCTTCTCCAAAACCACTGAACCAATTTCAATGAAATTTTGCAGGAACCTTCCATGGACAAAGGTCAACAAAAAGAGTTGCCGGTTTAGTCCCAAGCCCCCAGGGGCCTGAGGGGCGGGGCCAAAAAGGGTCAAATTGACTCAAATTTCAAAAATCTTCT